CACAGTGGAGAGTTATAAGTTACCGTAAGCCTGATAGCGCGGTTTAAGGGAATAGTATACCGGGCTTACCGGGATACTAGGCGCGGTTTAAGGGAATAGTATACCGGGCTTACCGGGATACTAGGCGTACCGTGACCGCAGGATCGAAGTGCTCGTGCGCAGATACGTACGTTACCCGTACAGCTTACCGTACGTACGCTATTTTTCAGATCTTACGTTACCGTAATAGCGCAGGTGCACGTAGTGTGCGTACAACATGGCGGCGCTCTCGGACGTCCACTTCGAAGTGATTTTGGCGTAGTTATTGAAAGATTCACTTTGTGCGCAGCAAACGACTGTTTAAAGTGGCTTCGCTTGCCTTCAGTAAATTTCGATGACCGAGTATTACGGACAAGCTGGCGCAGTTTTATAGATAGCTTCCCATTTCGAACGCGTCTAGGCCTAACTACAAGATCGATGTAAACCAATCGGCAACATGAATGTTTTCACGTGTGGTGCTTGCTTTATATTTATTTGCTTTTATTATTACTTAAATAAACTTGTAATAATGCTTCGCGCAATGGCATAGGTAAACATTCTTTCTCGTTTTCTGCTCCTTTTCGCTGTTCAACTGATTAACCATCCGATAGGTAGCACCACTATTCCAGATGGGGCACGTAAACTCCGTAAACGCTATCCCGCTAAACGAAAAGATGCTGTCCGTAACGAACATTTGCTGCACGGTAACGCCATTCCCTTAACCTGCGCTATCACGCTAACGGTAAACTATAACTCTCTATTAGTGTTACCATGCAGCAAACGTTCGTTCTGGACAATAGCGTTTGCGTACCTTAACTGGGATGATGGTGCCACCTATTGAAGGGTTGATAAGTTAAAGAACAGAGAAAAGGAATGAAACGAGAATTTTTGGCTGCGTCACCACGCTAAGCATTGTTACAAGTTTGTTTTACTAATAATAAAAGTAAATAAATATGAACCCCACACCAGATGCAAAAAAGCTTTGTTGCCGATTTGTTTACACTGATGTTGCAGTTAGGTTTAGAGACGTTCGAAGTAGAAATCTATCTCAAAAATTACGCTAGCTTATCGAAAGTAACTGAAAGCAAGCGAAGCTATTTTAAGCAGTCGCTGCGGCCGAACTGAATTTTTGAACAAGTACGCCAAAATCACTTCGAAGCGGGCGTCTGAAAGTGCCGCCTTCATTACGTCCACTAGGTACACCACGCTAACTTGGCATGTAAATTGCGCGGCTACGATAAGCGGTAACGTACGTATGCGCGCATGCGCACTTTGATCCCGCTATCCTGCTAAGTCCGGTATACTAGAACTATCAAATACCGGTACACACAACTGTGCATACGCTCAGGTTAGCCCCATCGAGAGGTTTGTACACAGGTGCAAGTCGCAGCAACTAGGCCTTGCACGCGAGAGAGCGATGGATGTCTATGCCTGAAGGTCAAGAGGAGACGACATAATAGGCACGCGGGTGTACGCCTCGTGCGACCGTGGCCGCCGCTTTCCTTCCATCATTGTGGGATGCGGGATTGCAAGCCGTACGCCCTCCAGTGACAGCGGCAAATTGAATCGTCAGCGCCGTCCTGCATGGTCTCTAAGTTCTCTCGAGAGAGAAGACATTCTGCTTTTGGAGAAAGTGGTTGTTACTGCGCGCCACAAATAACGGGGGCGTCGGTCGGGCTTCGCGCTCGGTTGCCTTGGGCGTCTTTGTTCTTCGCGACGATCCAAGGCTTCAGGACACATAACGGCGCCCAACGGCCTGTCTCCACAGTCGGCCACTGCCCTCTTGCTTTTCGTGCTTCGCCTTGGGTCAGGAGTAATGCAAAAAAGGTACACGTAAAAGTGAGGTAGGAAAGTGTCGCGGCTTAGCCAAACCTGGCGTCAGCTCCGCTTGTCATAACTGCGAAAAGTACATTTTCGTAACAGGGGTGTTTTTTCTAAGAAGGTATTTGTGTTTTTTTCGAGGAATCACGGAAGACTTAAAAAAAATCGGTAAGGAAGTTTTGATGAGTCGCTTTCACATAATCTTTTTTCTTCGTCAAGAGGAGTACAAACTCCCCTAGTTTGTCCTGCCGAACTCCCATAAAACAAAAAAAAATCTCACTTTGGTGTCATTAAATGTAGCAAGAACAATGCGCGATCGGCACTCACAGACCTCGTCTTTCTGCGTGTGAGCTAAATTTTTTCATGCCCCTGAAGTTCACCCACAGAGCTAGCCTGAACACAAACATTGCCTAAATTGAAAGCCATCAGCCATCTCAGTCATAAAGGGCCTCCAAACTATATCTCATTTCATTGCACTGCGCCGTGGTTCACGCTAGTGCGATCAGAGGGGCACAGATGGGATCTTTTGTTGGGACAGCCCCCTTTGCCAAAAAGGCGCGCGTTTTGTTCTTGCTTGTCGCCTTGCCAATGTGCCGTCTTCAATCAACAAATGTCATGTTATATAGTGACCATGCGGCTGTACCAGCGTACGCTTCAATTAAGAGCAGATAATCCTGAAAAGCAGGATTTCGTTGCAACTTTCAAGCAAGAAAAGAGCACTGACACATCATCGCATAGGAATAAGCTGTATAGAAGAGACAGAACACCCACCCACTCACATTACCGAAAACAGCGGGCCCTTTGTGAATAAGTGTACAAGTAATGAAGTCCTTTAACTTACAGTACTCTGAAAGCCAGAATTGTGAGATAGTCTAAGACCATTACGTTTACTAAGCTGGATTAGGCAGGCACAAAGCTCCAGCGACGTCAATAAATGCTTTAAAAAATTTTCATTTAATACTGCTCTCAGTATTACAGTACACTATCGCAGCGTTCATACTTTACTAGAATGCATTTGATTCGATCGAGATATGAGCAAGCATTGGTTGATATGTAGCGTTTAACTTTCCAAAACCATCATGTGATTATGAGAGACGCCGTACTGGAGGGCTCTGGAAATTTCGACCACCCGGGGTTCTTTAATGTGCATCCAAATCTGAGCACACGGGCCTATTGCATTTACACCTCCATCGAAAATGCAGTCGCCGCAGCGGGGATTCGATCCCGTTACCTGCGGGTGAGCAGCCGAGTGCTATAGCCACTAGACCACCACGGCGAAGCACATGCGCAGGCATGCAGGCACAGCAGAACCAAGGCATCGACGAACCATGCATACATACTGGGGGAACTACTGGAGGAACTCCACGGCATCTCCACAGTCACCATGGTGATCCATAAAGAACAAATACCCATAACAAAGAACGTGTGGTAGGGACACGCAATCATACCTAGTGCCCTGCGTGCTTACAAAGGACGTTCGCAAGGCATTAGATTAGGAGAGTTGCTTAAAAGAGAATGCCATATAGCGACCTGCGATTCACTGATGACATTGCATTTGTGAGTAACTCGGCAATGAACTGGAATAGCAAATCTTGATTACTGAATTGTACAAGAAAGGCAGAACAGTATATCTGAAAATAATATGCAGTGAACGACAGGAATATGCAAGTCTCGGACAAGAACAGCGCTTGATGATTGGGAGCGAGGCAGTGCGAGTTGTTCAGGAATACGTCTGCCTAAGACAAGTAGTGACCACCGAGTTGGACCATGAGACCGAATCAACCAGATGAATGAGAATGGTGTAGAGCACACTCGGTAAGAATTATCAAATCATCCCTATCTCTCGAAAGGAAGGTTCATAACGGCTGGAAGGGAGAAACCTCCCTTTTTGTAGGGCAGCTAACCTGGTGCACCGTAGTTTCATTTGCTTTTTTCTCTCTCTCTTGTAGCGGCTGCGTTTTACCGGTACTTTCTACGGAGCAGAAACCTGGAAGCTTACAAAGAGGGTTCAACTTAAATTGAGGAGGACGTAGCGAAAGTTGAAAAAGAAAATTATAGGTATAATAACATCGAATGACAAAAAGGTTGTGGGTTCGGATGTCACCGAGAGAAAAGGTGATTTCTTGTCCACTTTGATTGCTTTCAATCGTAGGAATACTCATAACAATATAATCAATAAACCACAAACAATGTCTCCTATGGCTTTTTTTGGGTGGAGGGGGCCAAGTTTTTTGTCAGTCTCATGTAATGAAGATAACAGGGAAAAACGAGTGTGAAGAAAATCACATATAATACCCTCATAACTATTGTTAAATCAAGAAGGATAAATGAACATGGTCCGGGGACGTAGCACGTAGACAGCATGACCATTGGTGAATAGGGGTAATTGGCTGGATTCCAAAAAAGGCAAACGCGCGACGGGAGAGAGAAAGTAAGGTTTGTACATAAGAAGCTTGCGCATATAACATGGCAGCACATAGCAAAAAACCGGGTTAGCTGGTGGAACATGGCAGAGGTTTTTGTCCTGCAGTGGATGTAGTCATGATCATGTTGAGTACGACGACGACGAGGACTGCTCGCACTAATGAATCATTTTTATACTTTTATTTGTTATCAAAAAAGAGGGCGTAAAATTTAACTACCTCCTGGAATTTCGTGGCGCCAACTTGGAGGCCACAGTGTTTCCAAGTACAGTCACGTGAAAACATATTCATTATCGGCTTTTATTTTATGGTTAGTTTGTTCTCCAGTAGCCTTTCCCACTTGTATAATTGGAAGTTTTTGTAAAAGGCAAAAACAATTATTAGAATATTGCTTCATAATGCACTCTTCCTTACAGTATTTACGGCATATAAAATCACGTAAGAGATCATAGTTATGATACAGTGCGTGTATTGAGTTTTTCAGTTCAATATAAAAAGTAATACACCTGCCACTTGCCATCACAAGAATTGGCGTCAGCTATTTCAAGGCAAACTCTAAAAGCTAGATACGCTTTCCTGTCACACTGACATTCATGTGTCAGAACCAACCACTCACATGCGCTGGGTGTTGGATTAATGAATAAGCAGTGGTGTAACGCACGTTCACAGGATAAATACGGGAAACAAAGCATGGTGATGCGCACTTTGAAAATGAAAAAAAAAGGAAGCTTCACTTACCACGCATGCCAAGAGAATTGTCGCTGAAACAAATCTTTCCATCCTCGTCGAAAAAGTACCTGAAACGACAACTGAAGTTAGCGTAAAACTCACAAGCACATCTTGCTCACCCCTGCTTTCGCAAAAACGAAAGAAGGAAAATAAATAAAACGCACGTCTAAAAGCCCCCTTAGTAATTTACACACATAAAGAATTAATCGCGGAAGAAGGAGATGCGAATCGTCGACAACTGCCCTTTGATTTTTATTTAGTTTTAAATTTTCCCACAATATTTAAGAATTAGTTGTGCGAATCGCATAAGTTTCAATAGATTCTATATGGATGCGTGAGGGTCGTGAAGAGTTTCCATCGAAGCATCGAGTAATGCAGTTGATATCCTCCCACAATTCACTGTTGATCTAAACATGACGAGAATGAGCGAAACCAAAGACGTCACCTTTGCATCGTGCTAAAGAATTGTTCACAAAACGTTCTGCACGCAACAAAAATTTTACGTCCGGAGTAGGCTCGCCCACGTCTTGTTGTTTCAAGCCTAGTGCTTTATTGCATATCTTAAAATCTGGGGCGTTTATTATCAGGACAATAATATTGTCATTATCGACGGAATGGATATTGCTGTTTTATAAAGTAGGCTCAAACTTTCGAGGCGACTGCGTACTTTAAAAACATGCTCTATAACCTCGCCTGTTCTTTTGTCAGCATTACTTTTTGAGCAACATAAAACAGTCGTACCAACCACGTAAAACTCGTCCCACTCACTGCTATTCTACGCTTTATTTTGAGTACTCTAAGCTCTCTTGCATGTTCTCCCACTCATCTGAACAATCCTGTTTGTTTGGCTTCTTGAATAGCTAATTGTTTGTTCTGTGCCAGCACTCTCTCACGGTTTTCTAAGAATAGAGTTTTTCCTTCTGAATGTCAACTATCATGTGGCTTTCTGCAGGCATCTACGCCGCATGCCCTGAGAATAGCTTACAGCGCACACATACGTAGAAGAGACGCACAAAGAATTCGCGTGCCGTGCGTGTGTGAGAGTGCGCTGCAAGCTTTATTTGATCGCCACCTCCTATCCCAGTCAGAAACCTTGCTACGGAAGGATTTCTGCCACAGTGCCCGCGGAATCTCGGTGTCAAGTCAAAGTTTACTAGGAGTACCTCAAGGTACTTTGCTGTACTCCACGTGACGATCACCGCCAAAAGCAGCTGTACGCCGACTGGATGAGTAACCAGCGTGGCGAATTCCTATGCAAGAACTTCAACCATGTAAGATGAACATTTTCCCTACTTTTTCGCCGCAGAACAGCTTGCTAGTTTTTAGAGAAGCTCTCTTAGATGATAGTCTCTCCAAAACGCGAGAGGCCCAAAATACTGTTTGAAGCCGAACCTCAAACCAATGGACCTTTTAGGTTGGCTGCGCACAATCACCAGACTGTTTGCTCAAGAAACGGGCTCACACTGCTTTTCAGACTGCGTTGCTAGTATCAAGAGATCTGATATGCTTCTTAACTGCCCTGATTGTACCCAACCGGGAGAAGAAACCTAGGCCAGTAATTCGAGATAAAGAAGAGTATTCCGTAGTCTAGCAACATGGCATATTCTCAGAAAAAGAATTAAGAGCCATTAGAACGAACTTAGGGACGGTTACACTCAAATCATCGCTGGTTAGGCAACGCGCAGTCGACTTTTTGTTAAGACTTACCCTTGACAGAACAGCTTGTGATGTTGAAAAACAAAATCACTTAAATTTTTTTTTCATCTCAAACCCATAAGAACGACATTCCTTGTTGAGCTATTGATTAAAGAAAAGGGCACTTGACAAGTGGCTGTACCTACCGTTATTTACAGAGCTGCTTAACCTTGATTGATTGATTTGTGGGGTTTAACGTCCCAAAACCACCATTTGATTACGAGAGACGCCGTAGTGGAGGGCTCCGGAAATTTTGACCACCTGGGGTTATTTAACGTGCACCCAAATCTGAGTACACGGGCCTACAACATTTCCGCCTCCGTCGAAAATGCAGCCGTCGCAGCCGGGATTCGAACCCGCGACCTGCGGGTCAGCAGCCGAGTACCTTAGCCACCACACCACCGCGGGGCCTGCTTAACCTTATTGAGTTTTTAATACCCATTTCGTACGCTCAATTTACATGCACTAGTTCAGTTCCTTTCAGAACAGAACGCCGACGGCTGCAAAGCCTTTAGTACGGATATTGAAGATTTCTATTGCACATTGCCGCCTGACGACTTGTCAAAATGTGTTGATGGCTGTATTAACAAAAAAGGGCATGCGATGGCTTTCAGAGATAAATGTGGTTTTTATACAGGGGCTTTTTTAGAAACTCTTTTCATGTTTTAACGTAGACGCTCGTAGGTAGGAAGGAACGCACTTTTGTGCATAAATGAGATATATATTAGTTCTCCGGGAATTACATCTCGATTGATTGCTTCTTATGTGGGATTTAACATCCCAAAACCACCATATGATTATGAGAGACGCTGTAGTGGAAGGATCCGAAAATTTTGATCACCTAGCGTTCCTTAACATGCCGATTTCCGATGGAGGCGTAAATGTTGTAGGCCCGTGTGCACAGATTCGGGAGCACGTTAAAGAACCCCGGGTGGTCTAAATTTTCGGAGCCCTCCACAACGGCGTCTCTCGTAATCATATGGTGGTTTTGGGACGTTAAAACCCCACATATCTATCAACCTTAACATGCCACAGTAAAATAGCAATGTTTTGTTTTGCCACCTCATCATAAGAAAACTGCCATGTGATAAAGTCACGGTGCAAGAATACTTTATGTGGGTGAATGCCGAGACTTTCCGCTGGCCGATAATGTTCTACTTCGCTAGGAGCCTGTGAAATGGCGCTACAAACTTTGCCCCGGTAAAGGCCCCTGCTTCCCCTCGCCCCTTCTCGGCGTAGGAAAGCCCCGTCAGGTAGAAAAGTAGCGGTGCTCATTTATCGTCGCCACAACAACCTCGCCTCACCGTCAACCTCCTTCCTTATCACCCCCTCTTTCGCGGCGCCGCTGTATGCGTGTCGCCTGGTTGATATCACACGATTACCCGGTTTTCCTCAGACTTGGAAACCGTCGCCCACGTGCCCGATGTGCTTTGGGGAATTCGCCAGCAGTCAGCCACGGTTTTTAAAGCCCCTATGCCTTCGGAAAAGTGCAACCTTCTTTTGATCTGCGCCGCTTCCTCCTCTCCCCGCCAAAGCAAGCTCGTGGCGCGTTACAGGGGGCACCACTGTCGCAAGCGAAAGAAAAAAAAAGCAACGCGCCAGAGAGGAGGCGGCAAGGGGGAGAGCAGATAGCGGTACTTTTACGTAGTATAGGGGTTTAACGGTCCTTAAAGCCCCTTGATCCCAAGATCAAGGGGCTTCAATGCTGCTCAGTCCGGTGAGCCATCTATCGGCACGCCGCAAACGAGAACATAGTCGGTCCCTCCCCGCCAAGCGCTCGCTCCGCAGCGTTCGCTCACTTAAAGTATTCTTGCACCGTGGCCGAGGCGGAACTTTTGTGGAAAACCAGTTTACGTCAATTTTAATATTTTATAAATCGTGAACAAACATACACCTACTTCTTCACTTTCTTAGTCGTGGTCTAGCCATATTCATTGTCCGTAATTTTGTCAAGTGGCTCTGTTAAAGTGGTGTTAACGCGCGTCTTGTAAGCGATTTGAGGTTGAGCCACAAAAAGTCACATAATTTTGCGTAACACTGTATTTGCAATTTGCCACAATTGAACTGAGTTCTAAGACGTACGTTGCTATGCACGGAGTAATACTAGTTTACATATTTGTACACCTGCGATTTATGGCAAACTCACGTTTAGCACATTCACATCAACACAAAAAAGATCGGTGTTACGCTTGTGTATACCCAGATAACGAAGCGTTGTCACGCAGCACACCAGGGAAAAGTAAAAAAAAATCCAAGCACACAGCAGTTAGCACAGTTTTACGCTTTTTTGTCTATCTAATTTGTTTCTTAAATTGTTCATAACACACAGGATAGATCACCAGGCATCGTCATCTCTTAGCCGAGATGGGGTGGCGGAATGGAAATCGAAGCACGATACGGACACGCAAATGGGTCTACCCGGAACGACCCACTCGACCAAGAGCCGCCAGCACAGATGCACTAGCCCGAAAGTTAGGCTTCCCGCGTTGCGCATGATTTTGCTCTCCCGGCGCACTCCAGCGTCGCGATAGAGCCGGTGCTCTTGGATCCTCAGGAAAAAAAATAAATGAGAGGAAACTGCGTATGATTTCCGAGCGCTGCAGTGGCCTTCGGAGTAGCGGGCAAGCTCGCGCGGAGGCGGCTGCGAGATTGTGCGCTTTTTCCGAATGTATGTGCGTTTCAGCGAGCGCACACTTGGTCGTGACCGCGACGTTCGAGACGCGCGGGTGAAACCGGTGAGTTATGTATACATTACATAAGCCCCGCTTGTCCGTCCGCCGTTTCTCGCCTCGACACGGGTCAGATTATTCGCGTCGATTCCGCGGATGCATCGATGTTCGCGGTCGGCTTCTGCACAAAGTTGAGACGTTATAACACGAGAACCACGAAGCCCGCGACGCTCGTCTTTCGTACAGCCGACGCCATTGAGTGATGCAACAATGCGTCCTACTTGCCCGTTCGCGGCGAAAATTTTGCTGGGTCTGCAGCGTAACCCGTGTGTTGCCTCCTCCCCACCCCCCTGGACATTGAGAAGGACTGCTTCGGCTGTGCTGCAGATTTCTCTTGTTGGATCTGAATCAGAAAATTTCGCCGCAAGACCACGACAAAAAAAAAAAACGACAAAAAAACGGTGTATCATGATATATAAAGGTTCACCGCGGTGTCATTGCATCATCGTCGGCAGGAAAGGACCGACTAAACAGCACGCCTCACATCACTGCCGAAAAGTCCAGTGTGTGCTAATGCCTTGGCGGGGCGTTATTCAGCGGAGTAACTTGTATTACTTGTTTCTGACAACATAGCAGAGTGTGAACAGTCACCGTGCCGTAATGGAACTCAAAGATATTCGGAGAGGTGTTGTTTCCGAAACATT